AATTATCCAAAATTTAATGAAGGTAAAATCTTAGTGTTCACTCGGTTTTGTATCCTCCCCATCCAATTTGCTTTCTTTCAATTTCCTCTATCAATTGATCTTTTTCACCATAAATTCATATAAAATTTAATATTCATAAGTGTTTTGTTACGAAATTGTCAAAGGAAAAGATTGTTAGGATCATGTTTGTAATTCACTAATTTCGTAAAATTACAAGCAATTTCAACCTAATTTTATGGTCATCAAGTTTCAAAGATCAAAATTCATAAGTGATCAAGACCACTACGATGCACCTTCAAGCCCTCCATTATTTCAAAATGGATAATGTAGCATTAAGTACAATTAAGAGAGCGTATAGTGGAGGAGATGGAACCTGTGTTTATACTTCTCTTTTTCTAGATAAGATGGTGGTTAGAGGTGACTAGGCATAGCTACCCATCAAAATGTAACCCTTTGAACTTAAGCTTTTCAATGCATTTTTTCTTTTTCTATTTTTTTGCTGTCTGACATTTTTCCTTTAAAGAGACTGTGACTGTGATTAAAACCCATAATTGAAGTACAATGTTAAATTCTAGTATTTAATAAACAATGAAGATGGAAGATCCACTATACATACTGTCTCTCTGTCATTGAAGTTAACAAGTAATAATGGGACTCACCTACTAAACTGGATATTCAACACTTCCACATCCCTAAATAAACAGGGTGATTGGAATACAGGATACAGCTCCAACATAATACGAATTCAATAGATACAAACTTGATTATGTTCAGATGCAATACCAATTCAATATTAATAAAACTATGTCTAATGATGTTTTTGTATATTAATGATGAGATTATTATGCAATGCTTTCAAATATGAAAACTGCCTGGATAAATATATATGACTTGAATAGAAGAATTACCAATTACCCTAGGTGACACTTCTTTTAAGTAAAATATAATTTTATAATTACTTTTTTTTTTTACGTTCAAAAAAAAAATAATTGTCTACTATAACTTGTCATTCAGCTTAACAAATATACAAGTCTAACTATACACGATTATATATGAGAAATGATTAAACTAATTTTCATATGATAAAACTTAAATATGATTGTAAACGGATAAAACATGATTCAGACACTCGTCTTGGCCTAGGTTATTTTTACTCCTCTATTTCTAGATCACCGCATATTTGTATAAGACTCACTTAAATGCATGATGAAAGATTTACAAACAAAGGAATTATGCTGCGGAAACTTAATTTGAGAATTTAATTCAAGAGCCTAATTTAACACAGGAGTTAGATTAGTTGTGAATTTCAATATTAAATGAATCTCATTTTTTGTATTTTTCTTACAAGAATATAATACTAGGTAGATCAAGTCGTGTACTGTAATTGAGAAGATGACTAGTTATGAAAGGCTTAGCTTATTAATTTGACAAGTGTGAAGAAAAATTTCTATTAGTTTCCTTAATTTTCTCTTAAACCATCAACTTAGTATGTTTCTTACTTGAGATTGTTCTTCAAATTGGACTTAAGCAAGTCTCTCTATGCAAAATCTTCAAAAGGATAAAACTATGCTCTCCATCACACATTTCACAACATATGGATGAGGCTCGCTTTACTACACTTTCTGAAACATCAATGTCCCAGGATGGGCAACAAGACAGTGAATACTAAACCCTTGCATGTGCTTCATGTCTTAACTTCATTTTGCCTTTAGTCTCCATCGAAAGGTTCATAAATGTTTCTTCATAGGGAAACATCATCATGATTGTATTTTTCATATTCCTGATTACAACGCAATTCCTGAATTAGTATAGTTACCCGTAAACCATACATAACGAAAATACTCAATCTCTAGATGAATAGTTACAATATGATTCTTAAATATATAAAATTACCCATAAAACTGTCGATATTGATTGAATTGATTGGGTATTACGCTATCACTCAAACTCTAGACAAACGGGTTAACGTCTCGACTTTTAATTCACCACCAAACCAACTTGTACATGTGATCGTACCCCCTTGCATGTGCTTCATGCCTACCAATGTTTTGGCTGTAGTGACTCACCATTGCAAGGCTTAAAGAGGTGAATAACCGTTGGTTCTTCTATTTTGGGGCCTACCTCATGGACAAGCAATTATGTTCATGATGTCTGACCAGCCCTCTATAAGATGGGAAGAGAAGTGAGTGGTGCACTCTTTTTAGTCCCTATTAGTTGCTTTCCCTTGGCACAGCCCAACATGTCTAGCATGACTGCTGTACTAAAAAAAATGGGTATCATACCTCTAAATTTTTGTGTTTTTATAATTCTTGAGTTATTTTATAATAAAAAAATTAATTATTTTTGTGGTTAATTTACAAATTTTGTGGCTGTTTTTACCAGAGATCCCAATTCCGTGTATTCGGTTAACCAAGCCCTGACGCCAGATTTCACACAGACAAAAAAACTTGAGCACTATTTTGGGTGATTTTTAGAATCGATTGTAAGTATCAGAAAAATAGTAAAAAATAGTTATCATAACAGTGTTAAAAACACCTACAAAAGCGATAAAATGACAAATACGATATAAAAAAAAAATTGTTGGGCTGAGCCGGTTTAGATCAAATTTTACTCGATTCGAATTAGCATCCTATTAAAAATTTGGGTCCAAATATTTGATGATATTAGTTTTACAATTCACATCCAGTATGGTCAAAATTTGCAATTGTATTAGATGAGTAACACTATTAGTTCTGAAATTTTGCACAATATATTTGGATTTCAATAAATCATCACAAAATTATAATATATACTTATAAATGTGTTGATATTAGTGCAATCGAATTGTAATCAGATAAATTATTGGTATATTCATATCCGATTATTAAAGAACGAAGTTTGAATTAAAATTTAAAAAACCAACCAAAATATCTATTCATACACAACAAAATCGAATTTAGGTTTAGATCGAACTCATAGTAATATCTAATCCATCGAGAGGCCTGATGACTAGCCATGTGATGAAGGACAATGAGTCTGCCATGAATCATGGTTCCATTACCACCCATGCTGGGGCATATATGTACACACACTGGCTCATGTTCAAAAATAATTGAAGTGAAGAAAAGGTGATGAAGATTTTTCTATTTCTTTTTGAGAATAAAGTTTACCCCGCTGAAAGTCAGGCCAGCCCATTAGCAGAGCCATTGAATTAGCCCCTACAAGCCTCCATTAGAAGGGGCCCAATCCAAAAATGGAATAAAAGCCCACCAGTTGGGGGGGGGGGGGGGGGGGGGGGGTTGTAAAGAAAACTCTAGTTTATAGAAAAAAGTTTTCGGGATATTCAGATATCAATTGGATAACTGATTGCGAAGATCATACAACAATGATGATTAGTTTGGTAGACATATTATGATGAGATTAAATATTAGATTGTACTAATTTTTATTTAATCGGGTCTAATACTTTGTTTGATAAGCAAATTTAATACCGTATTAATTTTAAAAATTTATACTTATCATATATTTTTTATACGATGAACCTGTATTATGGAAATTTTTTAATACCACCAAAAAATGTGGTATTATAATCTAACTCAAACGTATTATTCTACACATTTACTACTATAAGGCCACAAGTGATAAATTCAAGTTGTCATCAATGTAATAAACACTGATTGAGGATATTTTTGTTAATTTAGCATTAATACGTTGAAATAATTCTCTAATTAAACAATAGATTTGATTAAATAACTATTATTCAACTCTTATATTATGTATTGTCAAACACTAGATAAAATTACGTATTATTCTAATACTATATTTAATTTTGTATTTAATCCATCTGTATTTTATTATATTACTTTATCTAATCCTTCCATTTTTAATACGGCAACCAAATGAGCCCTAAGTGAATGTGTACTCACTCTTAGTGTGAGTGTTGTTTATTGGGTTCCAAAAACAAACATATATAACGGATTCTACTTTGACATCAAAATTTGTGACACTTATCGCAAGTGGTAAAGAGACGAAATTGTTGAGAAATTTACTATAAGAAATTTTAGTTTGGCTTAAATCAATGTCTCTCATTTCTATACATTGTGATAGTAAATTAACACCAACGGAAACGTATAACAAATTCTACATATACCAAAACTTGACAGATCTTTTTATTAAAGTACTTACAACGAATATGATGTTAAAAACATCAATGGGAATAGAATTAAAGCCCAATTGATAAGATCACTCTTGGTGGAAAGTCAACTTCACACTTGAAATTCAAGTTCTCAAATTCAATAAGTAAAGTACACCATAAGTCATGAATGCAAACATTAAATAGAAAATAGTCATCCTAAGGATAAGTGCTTAGTACTTGTAATGTGTAAAGATGATGTTGAGCTATTAACTCTTAATAGACTTATAACAATGACACCTCCGATGAATCTACCTACATAAGTGTGGAAGTGGGGCCATTTCTTATGAGAACATGGCTTGCCTTTAGGGCACTTATGGAATTAAGGTACAGACACAAGACCAATTAAATGTGTCAGCATAAAAGAATATCTAAAAGAATATAAGTGTTATGGGTGAAGATGAGTCTCGTTGGTTAAATAGGTTGCTAGTTCAAAAACATGTCTGTTAGTCTTTTCCTATTAACTTTGATACGCCTTCACCAAGTGACTGATTCAAGTAGTGAGCCACCATCATCTATGTATAAACCTTGTATTATAGTCATTTGCTTCTTATACAATATTTTATTTTGAAAATGGTGGAGAAATATTAAAAGATTTTCAAAATAAAGTTTTTTTGGGTGGGTATTTTGTGAATTCACCAATCCTTTCGCTCCTACCACAACCCTCCCTCCCCCACTCCAATAGAGGCGGGGGTCGAGTGGTCCGTGATACCACTGACCATACAAAGGGTATGAATCCTCGTCGTTCCTCTTGGGGGGGGGGGGGGAGCCATGGGAAGATCAAGCGTTACACAAAAGAAAATTATACTAAGCTGTTCATATGATACATAAAAGCCAGAGGGTTTCAGTAGTAGTAGTGCAATAATCTAAACACAAGGTATGTGAGTGAGGTGGGTTATTCATAATCTTCGGTTTGAGCCCATGGATACTTGAGGAATCCACCTCTAACTTGGGAAGGATCTTCTGGTGTGGACCATGGATATTTCATCGATGGATCTCTTGGGAATTTTCTGAAGTTAAGAAATGGTGCCCAAAGCAACACACTGCATAGAGAGAGAGAGAGTATTGCGTTAGTCATAATGCATAATCAATGTCATAGCTGAATTTCACAATCCTAGAGCCAACTGATCCAACCCATAAAGAATAAAAAAGAAAGAAAATAGGGTGTTGCTGTTTTTTATATTTTGGGTTGAGATTTTTTGTTTTGGTTGTTGTTGGGGGTAGGGATGCAACTTGGGTTGGGCAACCCAATTTCAACCCGAGTCCAACTCGAAAAAATTAGGATTTGGACAAAAATTTTTAACACTTGAGTTGGACTTTTTCAAAAAATCTCAACCCGAATTCAATTTGGACTGGCCTCGGGTTGACCCCTCAGATTCACAGGTTAAACCCATATATTAAAATCGGTCTCAACCCAAATTAATAATCAAGTTCAACCCGAATTACTATTATATAAATATAATTTTTGAATGTTATGTAATATATTTGAATGTTATGTTTGTGTTCCATTAAACTGGTTATTGGTTGTTAAATTATGTAATATATTTGTGTTATATTTGAAGTTGTTGGTTGTTAAATTATTTGAATATTATGTAATATATGTATCAGGTTTTGAACATTAACCTGAAATCAGCCCGTAAAGTAAGTTAAAATCAGTCCAAAATCATTAACCCGAATTTAACCCGAGCCCCCGCCCGAATTAAACTTGGGCAGTGTTTTGGTTGAATTTATTAACCCGAGGTAAGACTAGGGTTAGGATTAGAGTTGAAGATTATATATCTAGGGTTGACTGTCCAATCCACCCAATCCGCCTGAATTGCACCCCTAGTTGGGGGTGGGGGCTAAAAAGATCATTTTTCAGTTTTTTTTTTTTGATGGGGTGAATGAAACGTTGCACCCTTAGAAATTTTCAAAATCTCAATTTACCCCTTTAAAAGATAATTTTTTTGCATTTAACTTTCAATTAGATAAAAGGTTGCAATGCAATCAAAAACTAAATATTCATTGCTTTTTCTGACAAATTTTTGGTTATATTTATCATATTTTTCTATTTCTATACATAATTGTTTGCATAATACTCAATTTTTAAAGGGTTTTTAATGAATATTTTGTAGTCAATTTTCTTAAAATGGAGCACATTTATAAATCCTTCTATTTTATTAAGGGTGCAATGTGAGAATCTTAATCTTGTAAGATATAAATTGAGAGTGCAAAGATCTTTTGGGAAGCAAAGTGGCATTTGCCCTTTCTTATATAATCTTAGCCTACTTGTAAGGGAAAAGAGAATGAGAGGAGAGCCAATCAACGGTATATATATAGGAATGTAATTGGTATGAAATATGTGTTGTTTACACTATAGAGTTGGTTCAGTTTCGAATAAGATCCGAAACACAAATCCATGTCGCTAGAGTTCGAGTCCCATTGACACCACAAAAATTCGGTTGTAAGTGATACACGTAGTTGTGGATAACTAAGAGCATGTGAGATTTGTGTAGTAATTACCAATTAAAAAGGGGGTGATTAAGATAATTGTCTATTATCCAAATAAAAAAACCAAAGGACAATCCTAGGAGTGCATGAGAACACAGCAAAAAAAAGAGAGCTTACCCTGGAAAGAAAATAAAGACACACATGAACTGCAAATACATCTCCAGTAGATTCCTCTTGTACCATCTGATCCTGAGCCAGTTCATGATGAAGGGCTGCCATCCAACACAAAGATTAATTTCCACACAACCTTTTCACATTCAAAAACAGAGCAAATTCATAAGAAACAAATCTCACCCACCGGCACGACGAGAAAGTAAAAGAAGGCTGAAATGGCTAGTTGAATCAAAACCCATGTGAAATCTTCTTCATTATTCACACCAGTAACAGAAATAGCTGGCTCTACAACCTGTTACAGCATTGCTAATGGAATTTAACCTCAAAATGAATAATTAAAATCACTTATTAAAGTTCAGGGTCCTCACAGTGCCCAAAAGTGCTCCAGCTTGAATTGCTAAAATGGATTGTTTAGAAATGAAGTTGTCAATCGGATTCAAGCTGATGGTTATTTCTGTCTGTGATGTAATACAAAAGCATGAAAAATTGATGGTAAGGTGGAGATTTTAGAAGACAAAATGCAGAAGTATAGATGAAAGTAGGAGGGTAAAGATAGTTATAGATACCTTCTTTGGGTTGGAATTGTGGGGCTGTTTTAGTTTAGAGGAAATGTGCAGAGAAGCAATTCTGGATTGGGAAGGGGAGAGAGAAGGTAAAGCCTTGGGGATGTGGAAGCTCAATGAGTAGCTCATTTCAGAGCTCTCTGGTTCTTCCTATCAGTTTTTTGATTTTCGATGTCATTTGCCTGAATTGCCTGAAAGGCTGAAAGTGCTCTATGAAGAAGATAATTGCACTATATCTAAAAGGCTTTCATTTAGGAGTTGCCATTTGGCAAGCATGGCTCCACCAAATGCTACTAGACTTTTCGCATATGCTGCTGAAACTTAGAAAAAAACATTTATATCACTCTCTATTTAGGATTGTTCATGGGCTGGGCCGAATTAGGCCTGTGAAATAGTTTTTGGGCTGGGTCTGGGTATGATAGACCCAAATTTTTACCACGTGAATTATCGTGCAGGTTAGATTGGACTTTGAATAGGAATAGATTACCTGCAATGCAACCTATCACTCATGGGCGGGCTTACGGGTGAGCATGTTGAGCGGGTCTTTTATTATAGGGTAAATTATAAGGGTACACTAAATTATACTTATTTGGTAAAAAATACACACTAAAAAATATAGGGTTATTAAGTACTTAATTTTGATACTTATTTGTATCCAAGTATATAATTTGAATTTATCTATTTTTATTGTGATATTTTTGCCCTCCATTAATCCATGTGTATTTAATGCAACACTATTCTTTGGAAAGTGGTGCATTAAACATCTTCTACTTTGATGGGAGGACTTTATATATATATATATATATATATATATATATATATTAACAAATACACATGAATTAAAGGTGCATTAAATACGTATTTATATGTATTAATAAATACACGTGAATTAAGGTGCATTAAAGATAAGAAATTTTGAATTAAATGACCCTAAAATGAGTATTTTTGTCTCTTTAACTCACATTTTGTTCTATGTACTTTTTTGTCAATTAAGTCTAATTAGGTGTACCAGCTTCTAAAGAACTTTTTATTATATATATACATTTTCATTTTAAAATATAGCCATTTTTTTTCTTGTTCCCGAAGCATGTGCTGTGTTTATTCAAAAAATAAAAATTAAAAGCATGTGCATATGCGCAGAGTGCATGTGCTTCTTTTGTGAACTCAAAAGATTGCCCCATCTTGTAATAAATTATAAATATACCATCAAACTTACCTAACGGGGACAATTTTTCTTTTTTAAACAAAGTGGTTGGACAAGCTGGTTGGGCTGGGATTGGGGGGGGGGGGGGGGGGGGGGGGGGGGGTTATTGGCCAGGTTTTTGTAGGCGGGTAAATAGGCCAAAATTTGGCCTTGGTATTATGCTAGGGGCAGTCCAAGGCCTTTGAAGGATATTGGGCTTGAGTTTAAACTGGCCAACTATAAAACATATTTTTGGTCTTGCTGGCCAATACGATCCATGAGCACCCCTAAACCTACTAGTAGTTAGACATCACCCCTAGTCATTAACAATTTCATTAATTGTGGTCACATGAGACATAGATATAGTTATTATTGATGGGTCAAGTCTAAAGGCTCAATTCATGTTATAAGTCCGGTTCAAGTTTATAATTCGATTCCAAGAGATCCAGCGAATCCAGTCCAGTGTGGCCAACCTAGTCAAGCTCATTAGTGTGGTCACCCCGGTCAAACTCAGCAGCTCAAGGAGCTAAGAGAACAAGTAAGGTCATCCAAAAACTTAATCTCGCTGCCCTGGAGATGGTCAATACCCCACCTCATCCGTTGACCGAATCTCATGGAGAGCACCGCAACTGCCTAGCACGTTGAGAAGAGCTTGCCAGATCCAACAAACTAGCCAACTACTTACTAATATCTTGCTCAAATCTGTTAGGAGGGCGACTATAAATTGTAAGTCCCACTAACACTTGGGGGGCAGATTATATTTTACCTAAGCACGACTCTCTCCTCATCCCTCAAAGCTTGTATTTTCTGCTTCTCACACCCTTGAGTTAATAAAATATCTGGCAACTAAAGCCATTGAAGAGTAGATGTAGATCGAGCTTACCGGACCACTATAAATTGCCTGTGTCTCTCAATCTCCTGATATTATTTTCTTGCATTTATTACTCATACTTGACAAATGATGTGCAGAAATATTTTGTGCATCATTAGCTATCATTTCCATTAGTTAATTTAAACCAATTCTTGTGATTAACTAAAATGACACATATTAAATAGTTGATCAATGCTATTAGGATCTAATTTACTGATATAATTTGTTGATTTAATTCACTATGGCATTTAGATTTATTGTAAATCTCATCAAACATTAAAATTTAATATTGTTCAAATAACTATTATGAAATCACATTATTATGTTAACAAATTAAGTTAAAATTTTAAATTAACATAAATTTTTAAGTTTTTAAATAATTATATGACTATAATTGACAAAATTTGAAATGGGTAGGGTCCGGATCCCAATGGAGATTGGACCCACTCAGGTGGACTTGTAGAAAAAAGCCTGTTAGGTCGATTCCAAAAAGCCCAAGATGAAGATATTTTCCAGTTCCTTTCCTTCCATTTACATTCTTTCTTGGTGATTATCTGCGGAGGGAATGTGCAGAAACTAAAGACCCAGTAGCAGAGCACAATGGCTAGCATAAACTTCATTTCCATGCCCAAAACTCGCATTCTTGCTTCTTCTCTACCCAACAACACTTCACCATCACTTCCTCCTCACACTAAACCCAATTCCCGGCGACAAACCACCTCCCCACCACCACCACTAACGGTTGAACCAAAACAACGGCAGAAACAACAGCAAAATCAACCTTCAATTGCAGAAATTGAACGAGCCATTGGTGCCGGCACTTTCAGAGACAGAGACACAAGCGGGTAAGTCCCAGTTCTCTGATTTTAGTGGGTGTATTAGATATTCGGGGTAGTGTTGTTTGTAGTACTGAATTGGGTTTTAGTTTTGTATTGATTCAGAGGGGATTCAGAACAGAACCAGACTATGTTTGATGTCATTTTCTCGAATTCTATTGGGAAGACTGAAGGGTCAGTGGAGAAGAAGCTCCGGGAGACTGGGGAGTGGATCATTGATCGAACCGAGACCTCGTCTCGTTCTGATGGTATTCTACATCTTCTCTATTTGCTGTTTTCTGTTCAGTGTGAATTGCTTTTGGATGCTTACTGCCTTAGTCTCTCCTTAGCTTCACTGCTCTGCGCATGTAAGACATAATATCATGGCTTCCACCTTTTTAAAGCAGAATTCTGGTCTTCTTGTCTATGTCCCTGGGGTTTGGAACAATGAATTTGAGGATAGTTGGATAGATGATAAGTTTTGCAAAAATGAGAAGTCTATGCACCTTTGTGTAGGACATTTGGAAAAGTCTATTCCATAGCTCTAGCAATATTTAAGCTTTGTTTTAATTTGAAGATTAAACAGAATATTGGGTAAATTGGCGGATACATGAGAACACGCTTGAGGATCTCAAACTCAGTAAAGCTTAATCCAAACTGTTTGGAGTAGACTACATGAGTGCTGTTTTTCTATTGTGCTATATCAAGATCCAAATTACAATACGCTAAACTCGCCTATTGAAGGTCTCTAAAACAATTTATCCTTCGGGTGGGACTGTGCAGGGGTCTTGTTAGGGGCCGCATCTGATGTAGCCTACTAAAACTACAGCATATAGTTAGGCTGTTGTATCTGTGGATTGTTTGTTCTTGCTAAACAGTTGGAGGCATTTTCATTCTAGAGTGCAGATCTTGTGCTTTTATGATTTACCAGAGCTGGCAAAATTGCAAGTCCTGTCATTTAGAGCGGCTTGAGTTTTTATCCTTGCTTACTGAAAGAGTTATTGTGTAATACATCCAAAAATATTCAGCCAAGTTAAATAGAAAAAATGATTGCTCAGCCGTACAGGATTAGAATCTTGAGGCCTATATGAGTGCTGTGATACCTGTTGGAAAATATATTTCTTTTTTGTTAAATCACACAAAGACATTATTCCAATATTGTGACATTTTAATCCTTGTTAAACTTCAGATTATGTAATCATGATGTTCTCTCCATAATTTTAATCCCTGTTTAAGTTCTAGCTAAAATTTCTTCTGTTGGCAAAGAAACCAAAGTTATGCTCTGTTTGGTACGATGGAAAGTTGGAAGGATGAAAAGTTAGAGAGATAATAAATCATCATGTTTCGTAAAAAAAAAGAAAATAGGAAGGATGGAAAAGTGAATGGATTCATTTTCCTTTCAACTCATCTAAATCAATCTCTCCAAAATGGGAAGAAAAATAGATGGAAAGTTAATTATTTGTGTTGAGATGTATTTTTTAAATTTTAAATTAAAAAAATATTTTTTTCATCTTAATTAGAAGTGAAAATTTTCGACTCAACACGATGGCGCGACTCGAACTCGACACGAATTTTATGACACGAACTTAATAATGATTTCACACGCAAACAAGAAATATAAAAGACTAATAATTTTATGACTCAACACAAATCTGACACGACACGACTCGATTGTCACCCCTAATCTTAGCCGGCACAAAAAAAAAATAGTCATTTTTATTTTTTATTCATCTAACTAAACACAAAGAAAGAAAAGTGTATCATTTCTACTTTCTATCCTTGAAGAATAGAAAGTGTATCTCTCCTACTTTTCATCCTTCCCTTTTTCCATCTTTCCTATCAAACGGAGCATTAGTGTCCCATCCACACATATCAGTTGGTAAATGAACAACTCGGGCAAAGGAAATTTCTGAAGTAGTAAACACGAAGATGATCTCTGTGTTTCACTTGCATTTTGGTTTCTATATCCAACAGTGTATATAATTTGCAGTAGCTGAGTTGTTCTTGGATGAGGTTTGATCTCCACCAGGGGAGCAGCGCCTATGTTTGATGACAGCCCCACACAGAAGCACATGCACAATTCACACTATGAAGTGATTAATGTGTACAGTCTGTTCCTTGGTATAGAGAAATAGTTACACAGCTTTTGCTTGTAAAATCTCGAACCAATGACAGTTTGCCAAGGAAGACATATAAGCGTACTTCTCCCCAGACTATATCCATTGCCTTAATGCCCATCACATTTCATTTATGGACAAAAAGGCTTATCTTCACGCCAATTGTTTGGGTTCAATAATGTTAACTTGTTGAAGTGGTGACTATTAATACTATTCCCGAGCCTTTGATAAGCTGAATATACATCTAATTTTCAATTCATGATGCATTTATCAACATTTGATATGGGTTTAAACTCTTTTAAGTTCTTGTGATATGCCTCCTCTGATTTCTGGGATTACTTGGCAGGGAAGAGAATCTTGCTGATCGTGTTCTTAGGAGTCTTACCAATGTGGATTTTGTCATTTCTAGTAGCTTCCGGGATCATAAAGCTACCATTCAGCAGCCCTTTTCTTGATGATCTGATTATGTGAGTAAAGAACTGTATCCCAGTTTAAGCCAAGGCTCAAATTTTCTGTATGTTCATGGCATGCAATTATTGACATGCCTCCAGCTTCCTGCAAACTATCAAGTTAAAATTCCATAGCCACCTCCACCGCGTTGTGTTTAAAGCAGATCTAATGTACGAAGGAGCATATATAGAAGGACATACGTGAACATGTTGCACAACCAATCCATGTTGTAGCCCATTTCACCTTTTTATACATATTCGCATTGTATATGTACATTTTGACAATTTTATTGTGTCATTACCATGATATAGAATATAGTAGGAGGTTCAAACATTCTTTGTTTTGGTGCTTCTCTTGTCCTTAAGTAAGAGAAAGTTCTCAGTTGCAGACCTGCAGCCTGTCAAATAAATGTTCAACCATTAGATTTTCATGTCCCTTTTTTTGTTTGTGGGAGATAACATTACCTGATTCGACATATAAGATCTTTGGCATCGAAGGTCTGAAACAAACTACTAGAATATCGGAATGTTTAAATTTCAAATGTGTAGAAGTAGAACCAATTTCTCCATTATAATAATTTCACATCATTTGGTCCTTTTTTTTTTCGATCAATCTAGGATTACTCGTTACACAAACACAAAGAATGGATCTTCAATGCTATCACGAAACTTTTTGACCATAAAAAAAAAAAAATTGCTATTATAAATTTTCTGTTACTTTATAATTTAATTATTGATCATATGTCGTAACTCCTAAAGATTCCTACCGTCTGGTTCCTTGCTATTGTAGGCTTCAGTGATCCTTCCTCATGTGTTCCAACCTGTAAATATGCAGACATTAAATTGTACCCTTATTACCTTTTTTATGTCACTTTACATGGTCGGAATATTTTTTCTCATTTTTTCGTGGTTGCAACAGGCAGATATATGGGTAAATTTTGTAAATACCCTTAAACTACGACATTTATTTTAAACTTTTTTCTAAACTTCTATTTATCCTAATTTATCCCTCAAACTATATACTGGGTTTCAATTAACACTTTCTGTTAATTTTAAACATTAAATGTCTCAGTTTCATGAAATGCATATTTCGTTAATTATATACGTTTAAAATTGAGAGAAAATGTTGAATGAAACCAATTCAAATGAAATTTCAGGGGACATTTTAAAATAAAAGTCATAGTTTAAGGTGCATTAATGAAATTTACTCTATATATATATAGTGAATGAATGTATTACATTACATGTTGGGGCTTTCATGAAAAAAGAATAAATTTTGGGGTCTACATTATGATGAAAAAAATATAATGATGACACGTACCAAATTGGAGGGGGCCGCCAAAAGGGAACAAGTATGGGAACAAAGTTGAGAGAGAACACCGGAAGACTAATAACAGTAACAACCACTCGATCCCTGGTTGTCTTCGAGAGCGCGAGAGAGAGAGAGAGAGGGGGGGTCTGAAGAGCGAGTCTAGAGAGAGAAAGAGCGCGATCTCAACGGCAACGCCAACGCCAACGCCAACGCCAACGGTGTAGAGAGAGGGAGAGACAAGAAATGGGTACGCTGCAGACTTGGCGGAAAGCCTATGGCGCTCTTAAAGATCAGACCAAAGTCGGCCTTGCCCACGTCAATAGCGATTTCAAGGTCCCCTATATCCTCTCTCTATCTCTCTTCATATTTACCTATGCTTTGTATATTAACACAAAATTCTTGGAGAACTCATTGATTTTTGGATGGGTTAAATATAATTAGGATGTGGATGTTGCGATCGTTAAAGCTACCAATCATGTTGAGTGCCCACCCAAAGAGAGACACCTCAGAAGTAAGATTTTGTGATTTTTATTTTGATTTTGATTTTCGATCCAAATCATATTCATATGTTCAATTGGGCTTTCTATTTTTAACGAAAACGTGTGAATCTTGACTGGGCATTTTATTTCTGGGGGAATATGTGTGGAAGTTTTTATTTGTTTTTTCTATTTTTGGGAACTAATGTGTCAAATCTTTGGTGGGTCTTCGTTTTATTTGTGTTTTTCGTAGAAATTTTTGCTGCCACGTCTGCAATTCGGCCTCGGGCAGATGTTGCATACTGCATACATGCGCTTGCAAGGAGATTGGCCAAGACCCATAATTGGACGGTATGGATTTTAGTGCCTTTGGGTTTTAATTGTGGTGCTGAGATTTATATTTGCTTCATATTGTTGAGAGTTGATTTGGATTTTCATTGAATTTGTTGGTGATGCTTTTGATGGATATGAATTGGGTTTTTGCACAATATCGTTGCCGACATTACCATATGGGGGTTGTCCCTCAGTTAGTACTAAGTGTGATTTGGGTCATTTGGTGAAGTGTTTTATGGTCTCTCTGTCTTGAATATGCAACACTTGAGAGATAATTTTGCATCCTCAAATAATTTGAGTGTTTTAGACGAAATTAGCAATGAGTACAAGTGCATTTCTTTTGGTTTTATAAAAGTCGATGATCACCTTATAACTTTTCGTATTATGAGAGTCGATGATCACCTTATAACTTTTCATATTATGAGAGTCAAACAACCCCCTTACCATGCCGACTAGTTAAACTTATTTCTATATTGTATAATTTTTCTGGTGGATGTAATGCTCACCCAACTGTGGTGCATTTATATAAACAGCCCAGTTTTGGTTATGAAGGTAGTCCCTTCTTTTTCTTCTCTGTCTTTAGATATTAATTTATTTGCAGGACTTATGGGTGATTTGAGATTTTTTACAAGAATCTTAGTTGTTGTTTGCTCCTGTATATGCCATGTGTACATTGGTTAGCTCCCTTTTGTGGATTTGGTGAATTCGCTTGTTAAAATGTTTTTGTATTAGTAAGGTTTAAGTGTATAAATTTTTTTCCTATTTAAAAAAAAATTGTTGTGAAGACAATCATGTTCTCATTTGCTTCTCTTGGATTAAATTGTACAAATGTAGTGATGAGTTTCATCAGTTGCTCCATTTGTTTACAGGGGGGATCAGCTTATTGGCATAAGCTGCTTCCACATTATGCACTGCTATTCCTTACAATTTTGTTAGGGTACACCTAAATATGCTGCTTTTTCTCTGATTATAGTCTGTAAAATTAGAAATTACTTGAAACATGACCAGAATCCTTCTTATCAGTATTACATTTGTACACATCAGGAGTACGTGCGCCATCTAACATTGGATGAGATCTTTTGGAAGTGATGATAATGTCATTGTAAGAAGTGTAGCTTGTCATTCCCCTTTGAATAATCTTAACTCTGTTTATGGGTATCTTTTTTGTTGTTCCACAGGTAGCATTGAAAACACTGATAGTTATGCATAGGACATTGAGAGAGGGAGATCCCACTTTTAGGGAAGAACTTCTGAATTTCCAACAGAGGGGACGTATTCTCCAATTATCAAATTTCAAGGATGATTCAAGCGCTATTGGTTAGTACCTATAACCCCTAATTTGTCTTTTGTTTTGTTGTCAGTTGCATCTCTATCCTCGCCACAACTGGATCTGAATAATTCTGAACTTACAATACGAAATTTTCAGACTTTTCAAACTTATTTTTGTGCTGTGTTTGTATTTTTGTCCAGCTTGGGATTGCTCCGCCTGGGTACGTTCATATGGTTTGTTTGTGGAAGAACGTCTTGAATGCTTCAGGATTCTAAAGTATGACATTGAAGCTGAACGTCTTCCAAGACCCACCCAAGGGCAAGAGAAGGTGTGCCCCAATCAATGTTTATAATATTTATGGATGTTTTGTAGAATTTAAAGGAAGAAATGGATGATCAGAAAAATTTTCTCAACTTGAATATATAAGAAGTAATGAAGCCATAACACATAATCATTTGGTAGTGATTCTTATTTAAGAAATAATTTCTCTCTCTCTCTCTCTCCAAACATAGCTAAGTATGATCAGTTGTTGATACTTTGGATTGTCATTAGTCAAGCATAAGTGTATGTGCTCAAATTCCAACAAGGTCATAAGTCTAGAGAACATTCCATGGGCTTACTAAGAGGATGTAGAGGAAAAGATTTCCCTGTGAAATCCATTGTGTTGGATTCCGTAGAATGAGCATGCTCTGTCCCCTTAAGTTCAAACATGTGGGCACAAAATGCTATCTTGCTCCACTGTTGCATTGCAATATTAGCCCGATTATGCTGCTTTGGCTGCACTTTTTCACCTTCTTTTTGCTCTGGACAAGATTGATATTGGACACCGGGAGGGGGCAGGTAAAGCATGTCATCCGTTATGGAAAGAAAGAAAATCTGTAGGATTCAAGTTCTTGGAGGATTATTGGTGTTGCTCCTTAATGTCCGGTACCATTGCCCTACCACTCTGCCTGTCTTCTTGTGGCCGGGTCGAGTCATTCTTCATTCCTGTTACAAGGGAGACCTCTCTTCGCATACCGACCCTCCAATTAGTTGTTAAAACCATTGAGTGTACTTGCTCTCTTTAGCTGTCATTCTTATACAATTGTCTAAGATACAAGGATCTAAATCTCGTGTTGACACGTCCGAAATGTTTCGAAATTTCAACACTTCAACACGAAACAGTGGTTGAATCCCTAAATTCAAGTATTTCGGACCGTTTCAGTCAAAACAGTACAGTTCCGACGAAACAATGGAAAGATTCGTTCACTTCAGGCTAAACGAAAAAAGAGAAGGACTCAGAAAAGTAGATTCCAAAAGTCAGAATTCATAGCTCCAAGCTAAAAAAAAAAAAGGGGGAAAAAACAAATATATCAGATCACAGGTCTTTCAAGCAAAAAAAAAAACAAATAAAAGAAGGAGAGAAAGGCACCAGACAGAGAGAAATTTAGACCAGAAATTGAAAAAGTTACTGTAACTTAGCTCCTTCACTCCAGATTTGAGCAGATCTAGCCATTATTCAAGCAGATCTAGGGCTTGGGAGTTATGCGACCACGAGCTTCCACTGATCCACGGCTATGTTCTTTTCTTCTTCTTTTTCTTCTCTCTCTCTCTCTCTCTCTCTCTCCGGCATCTCCCAGATCGCCTACACCTCTCGCCTCTCTGTCTGTTTGTTCGTTGTCTCTATTCGTTCGTGTGGTTCAACTGTGCAGCTTCTATATATATATATATATATGTATTTTTTTTTTTTTGTTTATAAGTATGAATAATTATATTTAATACCCTACTGTAATTACATTTAAATGATTTAATACCCACTGTAATTATATTTAGTACTCCACTGCTGTAGGTCTTTTTTTATTTTTTATTATAAGTATGAATAATTATATTTAATACCCCACTGTAATTATATTCAATACTTACTGTAATTACATTTAATACCCATTACAATTACATTTAATATCCTCTGTAATTACATTTAATATCCTCTATAATTACATTTAATACCCTATTAGAATTACATTTTATTCCCCAATGTTTTTTTTATTTTTTTTATTTTTTTATAAGTATGAATAATTATATTTAAGTACCCATTACAATCATCATATTTATGTCACATATTGAGTTTCTCTAAGTAGCTACTCAAAGCTTACACCAATGTATGAGCCTACTCAACACTCTACAAGGGATGGATGTAGCTATGTAAGTATGTATTCATTAGCATTTCATGTGTATTATGAGACCTTAATATTATGTAAAAATGTGTTTATTTGATAAAAATTAAGTGTTTGAAACTAATTTAATTGATTTTCACCTTATGTTAATCTTTTTTTCCTCAAATTTAAATTTATTCTTGTATAAATGGATGTTAACCTAATAAAAATGTTGAATTAATCAATTATTTAGCTTATTTTTATAAATTAATGGATTGTATTTGTGTTTCCATGCGTTTCCATATTTTTTCTGCGTTTCTGAAACGCTTCCGTTTTTGAGCTGACCAAAACGGTACTTCGAAATGAAATTTCGATCCTTGCTAAGATATAATTTGAAGTGTTCTAAAAGAACTTGTATGCTGTAATTAATAGCTTTTTCAGCAGTGAAGAGTTTGCACAGCTGGTTGTTCATCTTCCATGAGACTGAGAGCTCATAAGAAAATCCTGTTCACGATATGTTAATGTGATTTGGATATTGTTCTGTTATATGATAACAATTTCGATTCTTAACAGATTAATCCGTTGTATGGAAAACCCTGCAAGTGTGGTTGAAGGTATCTCTATCAAGAGAAACATTACCCGCATCTTATTTGCTGCTGAACTACCACAGAGTTTGCTTGGAGTATATCTGTTAGTATAGTTCTTACAGTCTGATTATATGACCTTTAAGAATTCTCATTTCCTTGTATGCAGGGCTACAGCAAAACCAGGGAGTTGAACAGTGAAGAACTGTTGGAGCAGCTGCCTGCATTGCAGCAGCTGCTATATCGTCTTGTTGGTTGTCGGGTATCCTCTCATGAATCTTGAGGAATGAAATTCAGGAGTTTGTGTTACGTTGATTATTATTTTTTCTAAATATCTTAAATCTTTATGTAATTTTACGGTTTCAAATAAAACAATGACGTCATCTACTAACTTCACAGCCTGAAGGAGCAGCTGTTGGCAATTATGTGATACAGTATGCCTTGGCTCTGGTATGAGTCTCTTTCTTTTTCTATCCAGATATGAATAAAATTGAAAACGAGGAAAATATGATTAATTTGGGTCTACTATTGATAAATATGAGAGTAAATTGAACATTTTCATTTATATGCTTGTGATGAACGTTCTTTCATCTGCGTTTGGATAATATATCATTTTGCTTATTACCAATCTGTTTATGTGTATGCATGCGGCTGTGCTCAAGCCCCCCTCTGCACCTGTGCAGAAAAAGTGACTGCTTTTTGTCCTGCAGTGGCATTTGACTCTCTCTTTCTCTCTCACACACACACACACACTGTGAGAAGAGTGAAAAGGTTAAAAACTAAAGGAATATGGGAGAAGAAAAAACATAGTGGATGAACAATTTAGTGTGATAGTACCCTCTTTTCGGACATGTTTAATATATGGATTTTCAGGTACTCAAAGAGAGCTTTAAAATTTATTGCTCTATCAACGATGGAATCATCAATCTTGTGGATAAGGTGGATTGATTATATCATTTATGCAAGATCACGTATTTTAGCAAATGATGTGATACCTTTTATTTACCTCAAGGCTGTTCTCTCTCTCCCCCACAATTCCATTACAGTTCTTCGAGATGCCCAGGCATGAAGCTATTAATGCTCTGGATATTTATAAAAGAGCTGGCCAGCAGGTGATAGTCACCTTGTGAAATTCATTTTTGAATTACATTGGTTGATGGCTAATATGATTTATAAACTAGTTTACTTATCAAGCATAAATATGATGGATCTGAAATGCTAGAGTAGATATTAACTTTTCATCTTTATGGTCTATCACTAAAAAGGATATAGGTTTCTAATGCAGGCTGGGAGCCTTTCTGATTTTTATGAAGTTTGCAAAGGGTTGGAACTTGCTAGAAATTTCCAGTTTCCTGTTTTGAGGGAGGTATTAATGCTGTAATTGTATTCAGCATCTTGGTTGTAATTATTTTCATTGATAAAAATAAACTGCAAAAATAATGTTTTGGATAATATTAACTGATGCTAGCTCTACTCTCTATGCATTGTCCAGCCTCCACAGTCCTTTCTTGTGACTATGGAAGAGTACATAAGAGAGGCACCGCGGATGGTTTCTGTTTCAAGAGAGACATTGGTTAGTTTATTTATGTTATGTGCGTCCAACTGACATTCGACTTGAATGCCTATGCTCATTTAACTTCTAGTTATTTTGCATTCTGTTTCTGAAAGCTATGTTCTGCATTGCTAATATCTGGCCATCATGAATCAGGAATATCCAGAGAGACTTCAATTGACGTACAAATCAGAAGAAACTCCTTTACCTTCTGAAGAATCACAACTGTCTGATGATGAACCTAAGCCACTGCCTTCAGATGATGATGTTGTCCCAAATGACAAGGTTCCTGCCCCATCCCCACCTCCTCCAAACAACTTGGACTCTGATGATCTGCTGGTAAATTTCCCGTTCCTTTTCTTTTTCTTTCCTTTCCACTTGTCAATTGATATTTATCTAGAAAGGAAGCATTCCGGCCTGTCTATTGGTGGTTTTAGGGATTAAATGTCATCACAACTGATGCATCTGCAATCGAGGAAAGCAATGCTTTGGCTCTTGCCATAGTTCCATCTGGTAAGATTTTCTTCTCTTTTTTCTGCTGTTTTGCAGTTTAATGTACATGCTTCTGTTGCTTGTTATGTTTTACCAAGGAAAGACATGATATGTGATACATGTAGATATAACATCTGGTACTGCTCAAGCAAATGATTTTGATACTACTGGATGGGAACTTGCACTGGTCACCACTCCCAGCAGCAACATTTCTTCTGTTCAGGAACGGCAATTGGTAGGTTCTTCCATATTATTTTCCCTGTTCTATCAGTGGCTTATGGCTAATGTCAGTTTTCTGTTGCTAGTATAAATCTAAAAATGATCAAACGATGGGTTTTTTCACGGCTTTATGGACGTCTTTTTTCTTCTTCCCCTACTTTTTTGGCTGTCAGGTGAATCAAGCATTTAAATCACCTTCTTTCAAATGTCATGCTAGCACTATGATAACATGTTATTATAGGGAGAGTGTATTCCCTTTATTGTAGGAAAGGAGTGTCACACTTATTAAAGTATTTTATGTTGGTTTTAATCAAGAATTCGCTTCCTGATCTTACATGCACATCAATTTA